TTGACACCCACACGAATTCCGGCTTTGAGTGGAACCAATCAAGGGCTTTCCCACGCAATCGCGAACCTATCAAAATTCGGCATTCCGACTCGGCCAGATCGTACGACGTTTGGAGCATCGTCAACTGTTTCTCCCACCTCTCGAATTGATTCCCGTCGCCATCAAAATAATTGAGGAGATCGGCAATTGCCGTGATGCTCATTTTCCCCCGAGGACTCCTATGTCCCGACTCCACCGATGCCGTTGCCCCCACAGATTGCATCCCTCGCAGCATCTCCATTTCGCGACGCTGCAGCTCTAGCTCGCGCTTCATGAGCTCATTCTCCCGCCGCAAGAGCTGCATCTCCCGTTCGCTGCTACCCACCTCTACCGGCTCGCGGGAAATGCCAGCGCTTTCGTCCGTCCTCGATGCTCCCGGTTCGGTCGCATCCTCCGATGCGAACGATCCGCTCGGATCCGCCGCCAACAACCTCTGCACCAACTCGGTCTTCACGCCAGACGAGGACAAACCCAACTTCCTCAGTTCCTCCTTGAGCCGCACCACGGACAGGTCTTGGAGCTTCTCCATACTCGAAATAACACCACTATCGCTTATCACAAAACACAAACACGACTCACTTCCGTCACGAACACTTTTCCCCGCAATAAATCCCGGACGAGCCCCCAAATTTGTAGGATGTAGTTTGCTGCGGGATTAATGCACGCGACGAACCTTGTACACAGAACTTTATTGAATACCAAAAGACGGATACTACACGAAAACACTCCGCACACCTCAATCGCTCCAATCGTTCTCCCCGGTCACTCCTTACCCAACACTCTCCTACGCGCACACACACACACACCCGATTGACAAAAACCACACGCATTCTGCATTCGTCAATTCATAACCCAATCGATCGATTCGTCCAGGCTCGCACAGCTGACTCCGGTCACTCGCCTCACGCACTCGCACACTCACATCCCACAAAACTAATATTTATCGACGGTCTAAAAAGGTTCGATGATTTGAGTATATGCCAAGTAAAATGCAGAGTCCAAATAACGGTCAATGAATTGAAAAATAGCCTTTACTCGCCTTTAGGTATTACTCAAGTGGAAAAACGATTATCGGAAGCCGAATTTCATGGTCGTGCATACCGTAGAAAACTATTAATATCGAAATCTAATGCTTGCGAACGTCTTCGGTTTCAACACGAACATCCTAACAAATCAATTGAATTTTGGGAAACTATAATTTGGATAGGAAATTAAAATTCGAAGAAATACACAGTAGAGTCTTGATTAATGCACGAAAGCATGCTTGTTGCATAGTGGCGAAAAGTGGAGGGGATGATCGCTAAGCAACAAGTAAGGGGACGGTTATGACAGAGAAGGCGTAACATTCCTTTCCAAAGCCGGAAACAATGTTCAGTAGAATGTTTAGCACATCGTCCTTCACTGTTCTTTCTAGCGGTTGTAGAGTCTGACAATCGATAACGATTAATGTAACGAATTACTCCCCATTTAATAAAAGTTTAGGTTATTGATTCGAATTACTTTTATGTTTGTTCGAACAGTTTACTTTTCTTTTATCCACCGTTCTTTTGAACGGTGAGAGACGAAAGACAAAAAGAAACATTACCAAAGAGAGTTTTTTATCTTTGTCCAAGGTCAATTCCAAGCTAGTTTTCCTTTCTTAAAATAGTTTGCTAAATAGCTTTCTTTCTTAAACAGTGTCCTCAACATTTTCATTTTCAAGGTTTTTGAAATATCTTTCGTTTAATACTTTTATCGTAGTGGCCAGATAAAAAACGAACATCGATCGTAGCAATCGCTTATAAAAAAAAATATAGATAGCCTTATCAGTTGTAGTACCGAACGCACTGATAATCTATCACGATTGGGTCAGTTTCTCTCTATGCACGAAGTCAGCAAAACGACTATGCTAAAGTTCTTTACTTCCGTTGGTCTACGAACAGTTAACGTTTGTTCGAAACAAACGTCGATCGAAATAACGATTTTCTAACTTCTGCCGTTTGGAAACCGTGGATCCATCGACGAACGTGTGTGCTACCGGAACAAAAACATATTGGGAGCGTATTTTTGGAACCTGTGTATCCAGACACGAATATATGTAAGTACGACGAACGTTATAGTCTCTAAAAGTTGCATGTACTTTATCCTGTGTGTGGTATTTACTCAAGGACAAACGATATAACATTTTCATAACTCGAAATCATAATTACATTGCATAAAATTGAGATTCTTAAACATTGTATGATCAAAATCATTATTATATACAGTTACTAACAAAATTGAGCGTACACCTATGTAGTTAATAAAAACTGGTGGGAAAATGAACAGAAACGGACATATTTAAAAGTAAAAACATAATATTTATTTTGTTCATATATTTTGACGGACAATTAGTGGAAAAAGTCTTAAATAAAATTAATTATTCATTTCTATTTAGCAAAAGTAACAAAACTGTTCTTGTTTTATTGTCACAAAATTGAGCATACAGCAGATCATATTAAACAAAAATAACTTACAGATTTTATTTTAATATTTTGTTGCAAATCCTTTTGCATCTATACCTGCTCTCAAACGTTTTGGCATAGACTCGACTAACTTTTCTGTAGTCGAACACGGAATACTATTCCATATTTCTACAATTTTGCGTTTAGCATCTGTTTTATTACTAAAACTACAATTATTTAATTTTAATTTTAATTCTCGTCACAAATTATCAATGGAATTAATATCCGGCGATTGTGGTGGAGTGTGTAATAATTTTGGCATATTATATAGCAGCCACTCTTTAACAATATACGATGTATGTTTAGGATTATTTTCATGTTGGAAATAATATATGGCTGGCATGATTAATTTTAGAGCTGAAGATTTCAAATTTTTTTTCAAAATATCAAGATATTTTAGTTTGCCCATAGTTGTTTCAATAAATTCGCTATTACCGACTCCACTTCCTGCTATACATCCCCACAGCATTATTGAACCTCCACCGTGTTTTACAAGAGGAACCGTATTCTTTTGATTGAACTCTGAATTCAGTTGTCTCCATACTATTATTTTTCCATCCGAATTAAATAAATTAATTTCAACTTCGTCGGAAAATATTACGTTCTTCCAAAAATTTATATCACAACTTACATATTTTTTTGCAAATTCCAAACGCTTGATTCTATTCACCTTAGAAATATAAGGCTTCTTCCTTGCTACCCTACCGTGATAGCCTTTATCGCGTAGCACCCTACGAACAGTCTCTGTTGATATCGATTTTCTAATCCTCGATGAAACATCTGTTGTTAATTTTGATACACTACTTTTTGGATTAATTTTAATTTGTCGTATTATGTACCGTTCGTCAGTTCCAGTTAGAATTCTTCTCCTTCCGCGTCCTGGCTGATTATGCAGTGTACCATTGTATTTGTAATTGTTAATAATTTTTTGTACAGTAGAGTGGGTTCTACCTATTATTTTTCCAATTTGCCTTAGAGATTTACCTTGACAATACAATTTAACAACTAATTTTCGCACAAAAATATCAGTTTTTGATCTTTGTGAAGCCATAGTGCAAATTTTCGCTAATAAACAATGACAAATGAAAATCAAACGTATCAATACAATCGAATGAATTGTAAACCATGAGAAGTTTGATAAAAGTTAGTTTTCTAGTTACTAATAAACTGTATGCTCAATTTTGTGACTATAAAATAAGCATACTTTTGCAGTTTTTGTTAAACATAGATGAACAATCAATATTGTTTAAAAATTTCTTCACGCATTATCTGCTGACATGTACAAGTAATATGTATAATGCGTTTTTACTTTTAAATATGTCTGTTTATGTTCATTTTCCCTCAAGTTTTTATTAACTACATAGGTGTACGCTCAATTTTGTGAATAACTGTAAATATATCTAATAAAGTATTACAACAATTTAAATGTAATAATGTAAGTGGAATAATATTTTGTACATTCACTGACACTAAGATATTTACTTTATGATAAATAACTGACAATGCCAGTGCTTGATAACCTTTGTTGAACTGTGATATATTTACATATTGAGGATTCTTACTTCTATTTACTGGTGCTTAATGTATGATTTTTTATTGGTTTTGCATATATAGAGCTCAAACAAATGCAAAGGCAACTATTGTGATGCTAATTAAGTTTATAATCGATAAATTACTCTTAGAATTTCAATCGCATCTTACTATTGTTTTTAATCTTTCTTTTATTATAGTGGAAAATGTACTATGTACGAGTTAAATTATTATTGTAATGTGAAATGTCAAAATTTCGAAAATATACATATAGTCAAATACTTACAATAATCAGAATATTTTGAAGTAAAGTAATTAAAAGTTACATTGTATTTAATTTCATGAAACTGAATAATAATTAGAAAGCAACACAAACATAAAATTTTTACCAAAGGTATTTTATAAACAAATTTATTAATTTTCATTCAAAGAAATATTCTAGAACTGTATGAACGCTTTACATATCACATAAAATCAAAGAAACTTATTGACCATTCTGGCTTCTACAGAATGTACTAAATAATTGACCAGGCAGTGTGTACAACCAAGGTTTAGATACTCCATCAATTACACAATTTCAATATCCTGAATTTCAATCAAATTTACAATATATTGAAACACTCGTTTAAAATTAAAACAAACGCTCTAAAAATGGAAAAAAAATCTCACTGTAACAAAGAACGAACATTTCAGAAAAAGATACACGACAAAAACATCTACGCAAAACGTTAAAATTGCGTTATTTATTTTTCACTTGTTTTCGAATGCGTTCATCGAATGCGTTACAAAAACGCTAACGAAAGTAATACCAAGATGTTGCAAAAAACAGAGCATAATAAGGCAAGGAAAACAAAATCTGGTACTGTGCGGTTATGCAAATAAATGATAAAAAAGAAAAAAAAATGAAATAAATAATAGGAAAGAAACGAATACGAAGATGGTACTTACAACTTACGTATGGTGGAAAGCTCCAAAAATTTCTAAGCATTCGCTGCGATGTTGAAAATCTTGTTCTGCACATCCGGCACACTTGACATCAATGCTCCGACGTCGCCGAAGCGTAGTGCGATGACAGAGGAGTTTAAGGTTATGTCATACGAGAGTATTGTTGACGATCCACCGAGTTTGACGGCGGCATATCCCGGTCGTATTTTAAGTATCCGTTCTCTCGGAACGTGGGACGAAAGTCAATGACGATGATCTCCGCGAGGTGTTCAGCAATTTTGTTTCTTTTTTTTCCTAACACCCCTCATCTTTTCCTTTCTATTTGTTTGTTTAACCGTACGCCTTCACGCGAACGAGACAGCTCGAACCATGTGTAGAAAAATTTGCTAGGAGGCGAAGCCACGTCAAAATCCGAGTTGGAAGAAGTCCGGATTTGATCGTGGGTCAAGGAGAAACTTGGTGGGCATTTCTACCCTCTCGAGTCCAAGTAATTCCCAATGGATACACCCTCTTTAGTCACTGGGTACATACCGTCGACAGGGCGGAGTTTTTAAACGCTAACATTCGATCTAAGAGCAATTTCACCGAATAATTGTTATACGACAGTTCTATCCAATGTTACGATTCATTACGCAGTTTTGTTTCCCTTTATGCATTGTACAAAATTTTGGTGCGATCTTTTAAAAGCAGTTGCCCATGGATTCTTCCATTCGCCAGTGAATGGATTACGAACGTCAATACTATAATTATTCAAGAGATAATTATTCAATGACCTCTAGGAAAATGAACCAATATCGATAGTCGGCGTGTCGAGCGTTTGTCAAAATAAATATACCGCCTCGTAATTGTCGCATGACTTCTTTCTGTTAACAATACACCGTTTTACTTGTTTGATTCGAAAATATTATTTTAAATGGTATCGATAGAAGAGATAAATAAAATTTCGATCCGTTTCAATTTTCATCATTATTACGTTTCAGATTTAGTCTATAATTTCTGCAAAATTGCAGTTTAATCAGGAGTATTTAAATTCATAAATAAATACATAGCTTGATTACTGATGCAATGTACTTTTTTGCCCGCCTATGACACCATTACCTTTTTAATGTCACACACAACGTGACCGACAAACTTTCGAAGCAGATCGTAACGCTATATGCGGCAGGAATTATAATTTAACATACCTGTTACTTGAAAACCGGTAGTTTCAAATATTTATGTCAAAGCAATAGTTTGAAAATCGATTTATGAACTTATTACTACCAACTAAATAGAAAAACGAATTACAGCAATACAAGAAGGCATTCGCCCTTTGACCTTGTTGTTCAATTCGAGTCTATTTCATGCAAAACGGACTTCAATCGATCGTAAATGAAAAGGGCGCTTTAATGTTTTTTTAAGGGCACTTGTTGCTGAATCTCACCTATTCATCATGCATGCATTATGTATTAATACAATGGTGGTGTATATAATACAATAAAGGCACGTTTACAAATACAATGTTGTTTAAATTTCTTCTAAGATCATGGCTTACTTCCGGGAAGCCATTAACTGTTAAGAATCGTTAAATACACGGGGTGCCTGGCAAATGAAAAATACCACACGATAATTAATATTATAGTAAATATATAACTACATAAGGAAATACACTATCTTTGTACCGATAAACGTACAACGATCTAACCCGTGGTTCTTGTTTTTGGTCCGAATCCCTTACCACGAATCTTATACGATGTTGTAGGTGGGGGGATTACTATTATGGAATGTTATATTTTATGATGAGCATTTCTTTTATTGTTATTTACATTTTATCCTTTCGAATATGCCGCCCACGAGTTTTAGTCGCGAATGGTGGCTGCGGGAGGCGCTAACTGATCGCGGCATGAATTGCATGGTCGCGAGAAACTCGAGCGTCTGGCAACGCTAAAACCACCTCTCCCAGGGGCGCGAAACGCGCACGCGCCGCACGTTTATTATCTTCTTTCTGTTCAAGTGCCATTTCATTGCATGCAGTGCAGTCTATAAAACAGAGAATGCGTTCTCAGTGGATCTCGAGTTTCCTATCACTTATCGTCATTCGTAGCGTATAAACATAACAGCACGCGGTCATTAACTTACAAATTGTTTACGTGTCGTTCCGACGGCGCATGGTAACCCGTTAATATCGGCGTCGAGATGGTAGTTTCCGTGCTGTAAAAAAAAAAAAACAGAGGATCGAGAACCATTGTTAGCGTCGTTCCACGGGTTTCGGGTTGAATTTTCGAACGGTTACCGCGAGCAAAATGTCATGCAGCTACGCGGACGGTCTCTCGCACTACGAAAACAAAGGAGTGCTGGGTCTCGAAGAGGTAAAAACCATTGTTTTCCGATCGGCCGTTTGGCGGGAGCTGATCGACCATTCGCGAGCCTTTCGACTTTAACCCTCGCGTTATTTTTTTCTTTCATTTTTTAGAGATACGACAGCGTCGAGGCGTTGCGACTGAAATGCGGCCTTCTCGCAGATTGGGTCCAGGCAGCACGGCACGTCGTCGTTCACACCGGCGCCGGCATCAGTACTGCTGCGGGCATTCCGGATTTTCGGTGATTATCATTTGTAATTTTTCTCTCGAATCCCCACCCTACTTCTATGTACTTTTCATCCCCTCCCCGTGCGCCCCAATGGCCCACGATTCCGATCTGTTGTGCGCTCAAAAGCGCCACCGTTCAATTCTTTTAAATTAATCAAGCGGGAACGGGTTGCCGCGAACAACCGAGCGAAATTCCATTTTGGTCAGCGCGTCCACCATTGTTGTGCGCGACAACGGTGACGATGATTCGTCCTGAAAACTTAATGAATTTATGCTAGCTGTTCGATGATACCCTTAATAAATCTACTACGACGAACGAAAACATTGCCACAGCCAATACTCTGTCCCAAAATTACACGCAGGCAGAAAAAACATATAATTATCTGTTTAATGTTTTTTTTTTAGAAAATTTAGTCCAGGGTAGGGTGCGACGAAATTTTTTGCGACTTCGTATCAAAAATTAATGAAAATGAATCTGCGATATGCCACTTATTACATGAAAATTCATTCAAAATATTGTATAATATTTATAATAATAATCTCAAGGACTATGAGAAATTGATACTGGGAAAAGGTGCCTCTTTTCAACACCCTAACTACTATGTTTGCATCTTTGTACTTCCCAAGATAGACAGATAGATTCATTGTTTATGGGATATTTAAATTATTGACCCTAAGCTATATTTCCTACAAGCAACTAAGAGTATAATTTTATAACAAACTCTAGCCTATGCGAATACTTCTGTTTGCCAGTATAAATGGATAGACTGCAGCAGAAATCATAAAATTATTAAGAATCTATTTAGAAACCCAAGATGTGTGGTATAAAAATGTTCTCTAGACGAAACATTGATATAAATTAATCTAAACAATTTCCACAGCTTTTTTATTTTACTCTAATGGAAGTCGCAACTTCTGGGCACTAATACCTCTTTGAATATCGTTACTTACAATTTTCTTGTTGCATTCTCTAAAAAGTAATGTTTCTTTGTTATACTAGTATCTGTATATTTTATATAAGTCTAATGGAGAGCATGGTGTATAAAATTATTTATGGTTTGCATGCACTGCACCCAATTAATTAGAGGTACAAATGGTGTGTGGACGTTGGAGCAGAAAGGTCTAAAGCCTACCATGAATATCTCCTTCGATGAAGCAATACCTACAAAGACCCACATGGCATTGAAGAAATTGGTTGATTCCAGTGAGTATGATTTTAGTAAAAGGAGGCAGCTATGGAAAAGAATAATTCTGCAACAGGTCGATTCTTTTAGAAAAAGTTAAATTCATTATAAGTCAGAACATTGATGGCTTGCATCTTCGATCGGGGGTACAGAGACAACACCTCGCGGAGTTGCATGGAAATATGTTTACCGAACAGTGTGATAAATGCGGCAGGTTGGTATATATTTAAGAAAATTATGCAAAGGTAAAATCTACATACCGCGATATTCCGTTTCAGGCAATTTATTCGAAACTTCGCAACCAAAAGCGTAGGCAAGAAATCGCTCGACACTGTGTGTAGATCCGAACAGATAGGCGGTCGTCCGTGCCGCGGACGCATGCATGACACCATCCTCGATTGGGAACACAACTTGCCAGACAGTGATCTGACGTTGTCCGATTTGCACTCTAGGTAACTTGACGATCATTTGTACCGTAATAAAGATGTTCATGTACTTGTAAGGTCAATTATGTTTTCTATTGTGGCGCACAAACGATGGAACTCTTGAGGCACTATTCAAGATTTCATAAACAGAAGAATAATACAAGTGTATTACACAAAAAAAAAAAACAAACAAAATTTCACATTTATTGAATGTGATTTCATCTTAATGTATCATTTTTACTAAAAATTTGGTGTTTTTTGCGAACAGATGAAAGGAAGAGTACCTAACGTGCGTTTCATGGTTGTGTTGAAGTACATGTTAAATGTTTAAAATTTTGATGCTCTATCTGTCTGCGCAAGTATACAAAAAAATTTTTTGGAAAAAATTTCCTTGATCAGAAAATCCTATATCGATATCTCAGGTTTTAGTTGACAATTATATTTCACTTATATGGTACCGCGAATGTCGGTCATAAAACTGTATGAAAAAATATATTTTCAGTGTCGCGGATTTAAGCATATGTCTTGGGACGACACTGCAAATTATTCCCAGCGGTAATTTGCCTCTGTATACCAAAAAGTACGGAGGTCGACTCGTTATATGTAATCTACAGCCTACAAAACACGTAAGATAACTTTTCCACTTTTTGGGGAGGGAGGGAACCATAAGTTCTCACGATAAAGAAAACGTATTGTCTCGTATTCAAACGATATTGATGATAGCTTTCTCAACATTTCTCCTAAGAGATAAAGATATCTTTAACATTGTTCAGCGATTAAAACATATTTTAAATAAATTTCAAGAAGACCCACGCGAGACGACACCTAGATTCGTTCCTTTGGATATTAAAATATGAACGATATGATGATTTTAGGACAAAAAGGCAGATTTGATAATCAACGGTAACGTTGATGAAATAATGATCAGCGTGATGAAAAAGCTGGGATTAGAGATCCCCGAGTACGAGAGTACGATGGACCCTACACGCAACTCTGACATAACGTCTAAGGATATGGACTGGACAATACCGACCAGCAGAATAAAAGAAATGAACGTACTGTACAAGAAAGTGTGCAAACCGATGAAAAGGAAACGACAAACGTTCATGTACGAGAGAGATCGAGCGGAGACCAAACGGGAGACAAAACCGAAGAAGCAGGCGTTCATGATAAAGGATGACATAAAGACGGAGGATACATTGAATGCGACCGACATGGTCGACAACAACGAGATGATCGGTGACGTGAGTAGTAATGCGGTGAAAATTGAGGGAGACATCAAGGACCAAGTGGAACCGTTCGAATTCTCTGCGGATAACATGACTCAGCCGGACACTAGTTTAGATGTAAACGACATGATATAGCCCGATGATTTTGGTGTATGGTGATCGCCAACGACCTAATTATTTCTATTATTCTCAGTCTACGTTAAATTTATTTATGAGTGCATATAGGATGGATGTTATCTGTATGTGAAGAATGCCTAAAGTGCTACCGATTTGTTTATACGAAAACGATACAATAAAACAGATGGGAAGAAGATGATCATAAGATAAGTTTGCCAAACGGCAAATCGCTTTTATCGTCAGAAATCAGAGAATGCTGCAATACGTGTACATATGTGTAGTAGTAATTTTGTGATCGCTTCCATGTTTTGTCCGCTTTCTCATTATATCGACACGTGTCTACGTATCTGCGTAGTTTTACTAGAGCCCCCCAACGTTCACGGGTACACGTGAATATAAGGTTGCGCGCAGCAAAACAAGTGATACTATTTTTAGGTGTTGATACCAGTGTTGGGCAAAATTTGATCAAAGTAACGATCGACGATTGTGATTAAAATGGATAAACGTTGATCGACCGCAACAATCGACGATTAAATTGATCGTTGGTCGCATTGGTTTCTCGCCATTGAAAAGTAACCATTAATTCGATCGTCAATCGTTGCGATCGATTCATTTCAATAATCGATTAATGTTAATCGCGATTAATTCTGATGCAATTTTTAATCGCATGGCATAATCGGTTAATTAGTTGAGAAGAAATTAGTCGATTAATGCTCAACTGGTTAGTACTCGGGTACATGGATTTACGTGATCTTATCTATTTCACTTCTAATAGCCAACGTTGGGCATTATTCGATGACTTCATAGAAATCTTTATCTAGATAGTTACGCGGATTAAACTGTTTTATTCGAATAAATTATTATAGCATTGGCCGCAATTTTGAATCAAATAAAGTAATGAGTAAAAATTATATGAAAACTCTTTATCCGTCAGCAGTTGATACATTTTTATTTGAGTAAAATGTTAACCGCGTTACGTAAACAGACGGATAAACGTTCTTTCACGATACTTTCCGTCCTTCTCCTTGATTTTTTAATTTGCATTTTCCTTTCCATGACTTTCGTTCATCGATACGATTAAGTTGGCGTGCGTTTTACACAAAATAGTAATAATAGAAATTGAAACATTGTAACTGATATTGTTACATAGATAAGATGTTGATTATACGTCAATCCATGAATACTTGTCACGTGTATCCGTGTATTTTAAAACATATACAAGAAGGAAGGCTCTAGTTCTTATCCAGGATCAGAGTTTCAGCCAATAACTGTATCATACTTCCGACCTGCGCATATATATGCATGCACACCATGGTTTTACTCCACTATCGTACATTAACGTTAAGTACTTAAGATGATTTATTTAGGCCGGTTTTAAACGCGTTAACAGAGATTTTGTAGCGATGACGCGTCCATTTAATTGATATATGAATATATATACACACACACACACATTGTTCGTGTTTTCTCGACGGTTTCCGTCGCTCTCCGCGATTTCTCAAACCGTGACCAGTACTTCCGGGAACTGTTAACTCACGTTTGTAACTTACGGAGAAATTAAGGAAGATATATGACGATGTTTTAATGCGCCGGAGTAGCGAAATACTTGTTGCTAGCTACTTCGATCGTTTAAGATTGAGAATCTTTTTAATAGAAAGCTCCGTACGAGCCTCGATGTTGTTTGGTCATTTAATAGTTGAGTGTCTTTCTCGTTGAACGCACACGTTTGTATAACCGTAACAGCGAAACATTTTAACAGGCAGACGTTGAAACGAACAACGGACGCGAGGTTTTATCCCTTGACAATATATGTCTCACCGAGCGACTTGGAAAGAGGAAGTGCAAAGATTTAAGAGAAAAAAAAAAAAAACATTAAGAATAAATAAATATAAGCAAGTCTTTCTTATATCGGCATTCGACGCTATTCTGTCGATAGCGTTTTAAAGTAGAGCGCAGATTAGTGAAATGTGTAATATTTACATGTACATAGCGATGCACGCTTGGTTGCTCCTAATAATTTATTATTTTAATTGACATTATTTACTGGACGTTACTATTAGTGAAATATTATAGTATTTGACGGGTAATAAAATTGTGGAAATGGGCTCTTTGCGCATTCATTATTACCTCTCCCTTGTTTCCATTTTTTTTTATTTGCAACGAGGAAAAGTATCGTACTCGCAAAAAGAAACCTGAATTAACTGTGAATTTGATTATTTAGGTTACTATAAAAAGATTTCAAATCTGGGTTCTCTCCTGTATTCGTCTCTGTTAATTATTATTAGTATTTAAAATTCTCTTTAATTATTTATAACGTACATGTTAATCATCGAGAATCTGAAAGAACGACGCAATGAAAAAACGAATCGTCGGTTTGTCGTTTTGATATCGTATATTCTTATTCATAGGCAAAGTTTAAACAAGGATACAACATAATCATGTACACGTGCGCTACAATAATTACTCCATAGCTTAAATTCTCTTAATTCGAATCAAGAAAAACGTCACTCCAAAGATTCAAACGTATTCGCCGTTTTAATAAATAGATTTTTATCGTTTACATACTTTATACGTTCTTTACGCAGACTTCGCCGACACGTTGCGGCGCATCGACGTTAAGCAAGGCCTGAAACAGCGTTTCCTGTTTGTTTCTGTACATCGACGTCGATTAAATACATTCCCGCCAAAAATCTGTTCGACCGTAACTGAAAATTACAGCATCAAGAAAAAGATTAGCAGCTAACTTTGGCAGCGAGAAATTTGAAATTCTGAAATAGAACTGAGAGACCGAAGTACTCTCGAATCGGTGGATTTGTCGATTAGGTACATCAGACAGCCTAACCTAAACCTAAAATCGAAGGTGGCTCTTGAATAGATATTTACGTACAAAATACTTCTTGGCGAATTTTAATGTTCTTAAGTATGCGGTATGGATAACGTTAAAGATAGGATTAGGTTTAGGTTGGGCTAATTTTTCTCTCGTCAGGCATGACATTTTGGTCGACGATTTTTTATTTGTTTCTTTAAAATGATCGAGATTAGCCTGATGTTTTTAATAATTTTTTTGTTATATAAGTTAACAAGACCAAATAGAAAAAGAAAGTTTCTATAAACTTATGTCCACGTGTATAATTTTAACATTTATTATGATTATCTATATTTTTTCAATATAGCATTTTTGGGCATAAGTTCAGAGGAACGTTTTTCATCCATGTGGTCTCAGCTGCACGTAGTATAATTTTAATCCCGATCTTTTTGGAAAACTCATCGACAAGCTTACCCTCGATTTAAATCAGCAACTAAATTTCCGTCAGAAAATTGCAAATAAAACAAGATCGTTCGAGCGATGAAATTTCTGCTCTCCCTTTAAATAAGCTTCGTACTAGAACAAAGAAACGCCGATTCAGTGCAAAATTACGAGGGGTGTCTTCCGTGAAACATACAAAAAGAACAAAAGCTAATTTACGTTTTGATTTTCGTAATGTTTGTTTCGTATTACAAGTCGTTTCGATACTTCGTTAATAAATACACAGTCGAAATGATAACGAAAGTAAATATACAAATTTTTGTGGGGTCTATCACCGATATCTTAAGTTTCGAGCTCGATCATTCCGACTTTTCATACTTGCAGTATGTCCTATATTTACACGTGGTAGGGTTCACATAAATCGTGTGCAACGTAAATTTTTTTCACTATACACGTTCATGCTTCGATCGAAACAATCGTCGAATCGCCTCGTTTGTGACCCTGAAACGCTCTTAACCTTAAAATTACGGGTGCGATTACCCCGCTCGTTTGCGAAATGGATTCGGCCTTGGAGTTCGATGCGTCGCGAATCCCTATCATTGATTGAATCGATGACGCGGAAAAAGTGTCATTCTTTATGTATACATACAACGTGCAACGAATTTGTCGTAGATTCGATGCCCACGGTTCCTGTCGACGTTCAACTAAATGTCTACGCAGTTTATTTCGTAATAAATATACCGCGCGATACGTGTGTAAAACAACATCGAGAAGGAACCTAAAATACTCTAAAGTCGCGTCGTATTCGTAGCGAGACGCGTTTAAAGCGAAACGGAAAGCACCCCGAGCGAACTTTTCAACGGCTCGACTTTTTGACGAGCGCACGTCGATTCATACGCAGCCGCTCTCGCTAGAAAAGAATAAATACAGTGAGCATAAAAGAGAGACAAAGGGAGGGAAACGGACGAAGAAAACAGAAGGAAGTAACACTTGCGCACGCGCGTGAATGTAGGTGTGTGTTATGTGTGATGCAACAGGGATTGACGGTGGTGAACGACGAAAAGCACGGAAAGAAAAAGTGGAGTAGAGGGATAGGAAAAGGAGAAAGTATGACAATTAGGAGATACAAATCTTTATCGGTCGGTTCGATTTGCGTTCGAGCGTCCCGAGATATCGAAATAAACGCTACGGCGATCGAACCGTAACCGACTATTTGGTATAATTGCATTTAAATATAGTTTCATTCTGAGAGAACTCATTAACATGGACTATGCACGACGCGAAACATAGACCTACCAAGAGTGTTTAATTAGGCTATCTATATACAAGTAATCTTTACGCGACGGAATAGAAATCGATTATTACATATGTATATATTTATATATATCATGATAAACTTTTCTATATTGCTCTACTTTACGAATTATCGTCGACCGTGTTTTCGATTTGCACAATAACGACCGAGAGAACGAACGCGACTGTACCAATCGAGTCGACGGAGACTCGATCGATAATCGATTCGTCGCTTTTTCGATTCTTTCGGCGACTTTGTTTCACGTATCGAGACTTCGTTCCCCATGTTCGACAATCAATAAGGGGGGAGGGGAAAAGTTTTCCTCGTTGCGCGCTGCGAATTCCCGGCTCTAAGTACGTGACAAACAATAAATAGAAGTACGTATATGGCTAACTTAATTCGTTGTGTAAAATGTATCTTTGGATTTCAGTACGGCCCGGTCTGTAAAGGTAGGGCGTCCACGTTCGAATACCGACGCTCTCCTTGCCATCTCGACACACAGGCACATTCATCCTCCTTTGCTTATGGTCATCTCCGTATTGGCAAGGCTATCATGTTCTTTCGGCGTACGACGCCGACCCTTATAGTTACTAGAAACGTGTACTTCACACGTGCATGGATATATATATGTACATAATACAGAGTAGAGAGAAAGAGAGAGAAATACACGCGAGTACACACCACTCGCGTTTTGAAACGCGCGCGATTCGAAAGAAACAAGAAACTGTAGGCACATTACCAACGGGGAAAGTAGGAGCAGCGACCATGCAATCGCTGGCTACACAGTTAAGCTGTAAAGGGTAAAGTGGCGCTGCACCTTCGAAATCGATACATGTTCCTCCCGACTCGTTCACGCATCCACGCGGAAACCCGGTGAAACCTTTTTGAGATCGACGAAACCATCGTTGAACCGTCGAGACTCGCTAAATATACGCAAAAGCGAAATTTTGTTTTTAATTCGAAATGTTTTTCATTTTGATCGACACTGCAATTTTTATCTTCGTTTAAAAATACCATCAGAAGCTCTTTCCTGAGAGAAAAGAAAGAAAGTTTATAGAATAAAGCGACGGAAAACGGTATTACTTCTAATTGATAATAAACACGGTAAAAAACCAATAAAACCGAACAACAGTTGGACATTGTTTTCTCTCAGAATTGAAGATTTTTTTCACAAGATGATACCTTTACCGTTAGACTGTCGATCGAGTGCAACAATAAAAAGAATATGAAACATCCATCGAATAGTCTTTCGTTTTGTCGTCTCAACGAATTCAGCAACGAATCATTTCAGAGTCTTTTACAAATACATGACTCCACGTCTTTGGTTGCGGACCCGATCCTATCGCCAGACTGACTGCACGCAGTAAAAAGTTACCACGATAGCTGTTTAGTGCAGCTAACTCAGTAACTGCTTCTACGTAGCGAACATCTTCAGCATCCAACCATCACGGACGGTCTCCCGTACGAACTGTAATCGTTGTACAAGCCCCGGTAACGAAAGGATTGAAGCAGACGCGTCAAAGTCCCGCGTATCGTGTACCTTTTTTTTTTCGTACGCCTAAGAACACTAACATTCCCACGAAGATCAACTCAGTCAACCAGTCGACTTCGCCTAGCACGAGGAGGGGGAGGAACCTAAGGCACGGTCGTGAAATGTCCAGGGTCAGCGGGCGAAGGGGGCTTCATTCGTGGCTGCGTTTTACTCCCAGCAATTTGGCAGCGTCGTCGGCCGACGCTTGGAGCACCCGGTCGATGAAGTTCTTGTCCCTTATTCCTAGGAGGTTAGAGATCAAATCGTCCGCGCTCTCGCTGGCGTCGGGGTTCGCGTTCTGCGGGATGCCTGCCAGCTTCCCTGTCAGGGTAGTCAGCTTCTCGTACGGATTGAATCTCATCAGTCCGCTGGGCGCCGCGTCGCCAGTGGCTACAGGCGCGACCGTGGGCAACGAGATTCTGTCCTGGATCCTGGGATTCCCGGAGTTCGCCGCCACCAGGATCGGCGGCTGTTGTTGGCTCCGTGGCGTGATAGGCGGCGGCTGCGTGGGCGAGTTCTCCTCGTCGCCGCTGGTGCCCACGTACATCGACGAGTCGATGGACTCGTGCTTCTTTCGGTGTCGCAACATGCTGTGCTTCAGGGTGAACCTACGGCCGCAGATGTCGCAGGAGAACGGTCGTTCGCCCGTGTGCGTCCTCATGTGTCGACGCAGATCCTCCGCGGACCAGAACCGCCTCATGCAGAACGCGCATACCACCTGGAAATGTTGGAAGAGCCAACCTTTTAGTTGATGCGAGGATCCTTCGTTAATGAGATCTATTACAGAACACAAGTAGTCCACTTGAAGACGTGCAACGAGGAGACAGCAACCAAGACCTTACCTTTCTGTTACTATAGTCCGGGAAACGTCCCCGTTTCTCTTCGCCGTCGCTGGGATGATGGGGTGGCGGCTGATGCTGTTGCTGCTGGTCCTCGGCCGTGTCGATGTCCATGTCCAGGGCGCCCTTCGCCACCAGCATCTCGTACGATCGTTTGTGATTCATCTTGATGTGCTCCAGACAGTCCTGCCTCTCGGCGAAACCGCAGTCGCACAGGTGACACTTGAAAGGGACGTCGCTGGGACCCGGCGACGATCTCGGTGACGGTCTCCTGGACCTGGGCGTGTCGTTGGTAGACGGCGAGGTGTTCACGGTCGTCTTGGGCAGCTCCGGTACGGACGAGGTCTCCATGCTCTCGGACACGCTCGACGATTGGCTGTCGTAGTCGGTCTGCTCGTTCTGCTTGGTGCATTCCTGCGGGCTGTTCTGCGGTTCGCTGGACGGCGTGTCGGACCTACACTTCGTCTTGCGCGCGTGCTTGGTCGAACGGTGTTTCTTCAGGTTCCCCAGGGTGGAGAACGTGGAGCTGGGGCACTGGTTGCACTTGTATGGCCTCTCGGGCACGTTTCTCATGGAGAAAGAGTTGTTGTTGCCGATCACTGCCTGGCTTTCCGGCGACGACGAGTTCCTGGACCTGCGGATCTTGTTCGGGTTCGCCTTGTGATGCTTCCTGAGCAGATGGCGATCGCAGTTCGATTTCGTGGTGAACAGGAGCGAGCAATGGATGCACTGGTAGGGCTTCTGTCCCGTGTGCGTCAGAATGTGTCGCCTCAGGGAGGACGTCCACGGGAACGGTCGCTGACAGTACGGGCAGATCACGCGGTTCGGCGCCATCGAGTACGCGGACTTCTTCTTCTTCTTCTTCTTCTTTTTCTTCTTCTTCTTCGACGAGGCGGTGGCGACGGAGTTCAGCGAGTTCACCGAGTCGGACTTCTCGTCGCTACCGGAGTTGTTGCAGTCGCTGTTCGACGCGACCAGGCCCTCCTCGTCGCTCAGGTATTGCGGCTGGAACTGCTGGTACTGTTGCGACGCGTTGTCCAGGAGCTCGGAGACGCTCGCCAGGTCCGTCGTCCCGTCCTCCATCTTCTCTTGCTTCTCCTCGTCCGGGTCCGACTTGAACACGCGATCGCCTGCATTGTCGCTCATCGCGTCCTCTGGTTCCGCTGCTTTCTCCGTGTCGGAGGTCTTTGCCTCGTCGGCGTTGTCACTGTGAGCGGACTCGGTGTTGGACGATTCCGAGTCAGCTTTCGAGGGCTCCTCGACCTCCTCCTTCACGGTGGCCATCTCCTTCGTGGAGTCTGCCTCCAGCTGTCCTCTCAGCAGGCTCGTGCACTTCTTCTGCTCCTGAGATTCCTGGGCGTCCTTCTCCTGCGGGTCCTCGTCGATCACCAGCTCCTCCTCGGAGTCCTCCTCGACCTTGTTGGCCTTCAACTGCTGCGCCAGGATGGCGTACTTCACCTGGTCCGAGATTGGATGCTTCGCGTACTCGGAGCTCGCCGGTTGCTCCGCTTTCGGTAGGATGTTTGGGTACGGTTGCGTGGCTTGCGTTGTCGCGAGATTCTGCAGCAATGTCGGGTTGTTCGAGGGTGGCCTGCCTCTGGTCGAGTGACCGCCCCTGGGTCTCTGGCTCCAGTACTGAGGATGTTGTTGCTTGATGTGTCGCTCCATGTTGCTCCTCAGGGTGAATCTGGCCGAGCAGTGCTCGCAGGTGAACGGCCTCTCCGTCCTGTATCGTCGCTGTTTCTGCTTGGGCATCAGCACGCCGTTCTTGATCACCATCTTCACGGAGTTCGCGGACGGTATGTGGTTGTCGGGCTTCTCGCGGCTGGACAACGCTTTGCTGGCTATCTTGGCGGAGATCAGCTTCGCATAGTCGTTCTGCTCGGTGGCCTGAGCGTTCATGTCTCTGCTGGGCGGGAAAGCCGGGAATCCGGTACCACCGATGGACGGCGGTTCCACCAGAGTGCCGCCGCTGGTTAACTGCAGGCCTCTGACCAGCTCCTTCTGCAGCCTCTCCTTCATCGAGAAGTCCTGCCCGAACACGTGAGGATTGAACAGGTACGGCGGCAGAATACCGGCGCCCACGCCGCCGGGGAATGTTCCGAAGTTTCTGTAGATGAGGTGCGCATTCGCGTACAGCGCCTCCAAAGATGGCGGCTGTGAGGTGCCCTGTCCAGCCTTCAGGAGCGCCTCGGTGAGCAACAGCTGGCTGGTGGCGTTGTACAGTTCCTTCTGGTTCTTTCCGTAGTGCTCGTGCGACGCGACGAACTCGTTGTCCTCCTTGTCCTTCGACTTCTTGCTGAGATCCAGTACGTCCATCGACAGGTCCAACGGCCCGTCCTCGCCGACGTTCTCCGACGCGTTCAGACCCTTCTTCAAGTTCATCGGACTAGCTTGTATTCTTTGGTGCGAATCTGATTTGGTATCACTGACTAGAGACACGCTGCCTTCCGATGACCTTGACTCGAGATCCTCGTCGAGCTTCGTGTAGTCCGTTTTGCCGTCCTGCGTCGGCTTCCGGTCGGCCGGGTTCCGTTGCGTCAGCTCGATCGGTTGCGCGGGCCTCGGGAACGCCTCCGTCTTTTCGTAATAGTTCGCGTTGTGCAGCTTCGCCTCCTCTATTATCCTGATCTCGCCACGGCTCTCCATAGGCACCGACGGATAGTGCAGCTGCGTTTGATGCTGCAGCTCGTCACGGTCGCTCGGGTACACCAAGCTCTTTCGCACGTCGTCCTTGATCACCCTGGGCGAGCTCCTCTCGACGCTCTCGTTCGTGGAGTTCTCGTTCGGATGGTATATCAGCACGCTCTTTATGTCCTCCCTCGTCAGTTTACCGTGGCTGTTTCGAACGTGGCGCTCGCAGTTCGCCTTGGTGGTGAACGCGTAGTTGCACAACGAGCATTCGTACGGCCTGTCGCCGTTGTGCGACCTCAGATGCTTCACCAGGGTAGCCTTGTCGGTGCTGGTGTACGAGCACATGTTGCAGGGATACGGCATCCCGGGGCCCACGCCCATGTGCGCTCGGTTGTGGCCCTTCAGCGCCCTCAGGTTCGGGAATATCGCGGTGCACAGCCTGCACGGGAACTCGCCCTTCATCTTCATCTTCCTGAACTCGGCGGCGAACGCATCCTGTGCCTCCTCCTCGTGGTACTCCGACGAGAACGTGCCCGAAGAGCCGGACGAGCCGACACTGGGGTTGAATTTCATATTGTTCTCCGGTGTGCTGGCATCGGATCGTGGAAAGTTTTGCAGTATAGGACCAGACGTGACCGATATGATGCTCTGGATGTCGGCCAGGTCTTTGCCCTCTTTGGCCTCGGTGAGGGCGGCCTTGTTCTGGAGGTCCAGTCCTGCGAAGAAGTCGTCCCTCCTGGACTGGTTGTCGCTGATCGGTCTCGACTGCGGGTTCGCGGTCCCGCAGTCGGTCTCGTGGGCGTCCAGGGCTGATCTGCACGGAAACGCTCTCAAACACTTGGAGCACTGGAACTTTGCTACCTCACCAGAAGCTGGTCGGTGCAAGGACTGCTCGCAAACCGCCCTGGCGATCGTCGGGAACTTGTCCGACGAGAAATCCACGAAGGTCAGATCGTTGAATCCCACCACGGAGTTCCTCAGGTTCCTCGCGGTGCTCCCTATCGAGTGCTCCGCGAAGTGGTTCATGAAACGGTGCAGGTTCAGCACCCGATGGTTCTTGAACGACCGGTTGCAGGCGTCGCATTTTGCGGGGAACTCCGGATGATTGCATTCCAAATGAGCTTCGAGGAGGGCGCTGGTGGCAAAGTCCTGTCTACCGCACACCGGGCAATTGTACACGTTCTGACTGTCGTCCGGACGCGATTTCATCTCCGTCCTCGAGTCGTTCAACAGTATCTTGTGCCTCTTCTGACCCTCGTTGTCGCTCAGATAGTCCGTGCACTTCCGTTTGCCCGTCAGGCTCGGCGACTTTTCTTGCCTGTCGATGAAGTCCGGCGAGTTCCTCTTCGCAATCTCGTTGTTGTTGTACTCCTCGATGTGTCTCTGTTTCGATGGTTTCTCGGAGTCGCTGCTGCCCTCGGAGTCCGTGCAACTATGCGGCGACGCGGTGCAGTGCGCGGTCCTCAGGTGTCTGTTCATGTTCCCGTTCGTCGTGAACGCCATCTCGCAGTACTTGCACTTGAACGGACGCTCACCGGAGTGCACCAGCACGTGCCTGTCCAACGAGCTCGCCGAGCTTAGCACCTTGTTGCATACCCCGCAACAGTAATCGTCCTCGCCGCTGCAGTCGGTGCTGCGCGGCGAATTGTGCCCGCGCAGGTGGTTCGTCAGCTCCCGCGAGCTGGGCAGCACCGTAGGGCACGCGGGGCACGGATGAGCGCTCTCTGGTAACTCCACCTGAAAATCAGGTTAGGAGTGAGTTTAACAACCCTGCGTGTCAACTATTAACCCTTTCGATACTAACTGTAGTCGTATATTGTTAAAAAATTTGTTTAATTTGACTGTTTCGACGTGCGTTTATTTCTCGCTTTCTATATTTTGGTACGATACGAGTTGCACTAGAAGACAATGATTTACTTAAGTATTACATTTCTGGAAGCTCGACGTATCGAAAGAGTTGAGGGGTTATTCTAGTCTGGATTTCCTTATGGGTTTTTGGAAAATTTTGTTAAATGCGTAATACAAAATTTGTATACTATCAAGTTTTATGTTAATTATTATTATCAAGCATTGAAAGAGAGTTTGAGATTTAAGGCTTTCGTGGCTTTGACCTCGAGTATTGGAAGAGAGTTATTGAATTATATAAAAATTAACGAGGTTGCAAGGTTTGAAGGTTATGGAAGATTTTATTTCGAGATAATTCTCCGAGTCCGTCGCGGTCGGCCATGTTTGAAGGCGAGTTCAACGATCCGACCGGACACACTCTCTTATCGGTGTTCAAACTATTGATCTTTGAGGTCCAACGGTTCGTAGTGTCGAATTCAGAGGGTAATTATAAACGAAGTATGTTTGTAAATGATTATGAAAGACGATGTAATAACTTACGCTCGATAGTGGCGATGCAGCATCCGCTTGCGTCTCGTTGTGTCCCTGATCGGGATCACTCTTAACAGTAACTGAAACAAAGAGAAACATTTGACGTTAAAAAGAGGAAGAGACGTTATCAAGAATTCTGTACGATGAAGCTAGCAACGCAATATCGTGAGAATACAATTCAGAATAGAATCACTCGAGCGAAGTTAGGCTTTTGTCGCGTCCACTGTGAATTTCGCTAGACTTTCCTAAAATAATTCTAAACGTTACGCGTTTCCTTCTCGAGTTTGGTAACCGATGTTACGTTTAATAGGAGTTCACAGACAACGCGATGGATCCACTGCGATTTTAATAATAAAAAAATTTCAATTACAAACTCGTTCGCGAGGAATTCGTGGAGATTTACAGCGTTTCCCATCGCCGTTAGCCGTTCGTATCGACCGATAATGGCGTATTGTTTGTAAATTTTTTTAATTGGTCGTAATAAGCGTCGGACACGATCGTGTCGCGGAGATCCTGACGTATTCCGGAAGCTGACGACCGCAAAGAACGACGCCGTGCTGGGACAATGACACTTATCAGCAACGTCCTGACCGCAATCGTCCTTATTTACGCGCCTTTGGAAACCGACTCCAAGGATCCTGCAGCCGACGCTGGAGCACGCTTCCGAGAAAGATACGGGGACGAAAATAAAGTTGGGAGAAAAAGAAGTCGATCCGCGATTATGGCGAGATAACGCTCGCGATCGACGTTGCCTCGGTACTACTCGACGGAACATAACTTGGTGCATTATTTGATAGACTAGCTTTTGTCCGCGGCTTCGCTCGCACAGGAAACCGTTTAGTTCCCTCGGAAATAGATATTGTTGCTCCATAAAACCTTCTAAGCCCCCATTCGACTCTATAGAGTTTTAATTTTATGTCATGTCGCCATCTTACATTTAAAAATTGATACCGTTTTCGTAATTAACGTCTCAAAAGATCTTCATAACGACACCCATACCGATATTTAAGCGAATTTACACCATTGCAACGGTTTAGTAATAAGATAATAATTACGTATTTATACAGGGTGTCTCACCCGATTTTGACATCTTCATTTTCTCGCTATTGTTACTCGTAACAAAAAATGTTTCAGCGGAGGCTTGAATGGTATCGAGTGGAGCATATTCTGATGTTATTAGTTTTTTCGTGAGTGGACGCGTAAAAGTCATATAAAGGTCAACTTTGTTTTTTTAAATGGAACGAGGTATTTTTTAATACATCGATCGATTCAGCTGGACAATCGTTATAAAAAAGTACTAACTATGTAACGTCGAAAAATTAGTAGTTCAGGAGATATTTCAATTTAAATAATTCTAAAACACCATTACTGTTGTACTAAGACGTTAACGTTTATTTAGTAGTTACTATCCAAATAAAAACTAACTATTCTTATAATTAAATAGCTTTTTTTATAGCATAAGGCTATTTCATAAAAATTTTATTGTATTTCATTTTAAGATATCACTACATATAGTCAATTTTTACTATCCAATTAAAAATTACATACATCTATTAGTAATTTTCATTGGATATATGAAAATTATTCTTATTATTATATAACTTCTTTTTATACCATAAGTCTATTTCATATGAATTTCATTGTATTTCATTTTAAGATATCACTATAGTCAATTTTCACTATCCAATTAAAAACTAACTATTCTTGTTATTAAATAACTTTTTTTATATAGCTTAAGTAATGACATGTGATGTAAATGGTCGTTACGTTGAACTATTCCTGTAAATAAACGCTAACGTCTTAGTAGAACAGTAATGGTGTTTTAAAATTATTTAAATTGAAATATCTCCTAAACTACTAATTTTTCGACGTTACACAGTTAGTACTTTTTTATAACGATTGTCCAGCTGAATCGATTGATGTATTAAAAAATACCTCGTTCCATTTAAAAAAACAAAGTTGACCTTTATATGACCTTTACGCGTCCACTTACGAAAAAACTAATAACATCAGAATATGCTCCACTCGATACCATTCAAGCCTCCGCTGAAACATTTTTAGTTACGAGTAACAATAGCGAGAAAATGAAGATGTCAAAATCGGGTGAGACACCCTGTATGTTAAATTTGAAGTTTCTAGATCCATTTACGGAAATAAGGCAACTTTAATGCGAAATAAGTGTATCAATGAGCATTCAGACCAAGTATCAGGTAAATCCGACCATGAACAAAATATATCCCATACAAACGTTGCATCCCCTTTTCACCCCTTCAGATGTTGAATTTTTTTAAAATGCCGAAATAGGTGTTTGATTAATTATGTCAAAGAGCATTAAGACCAAGTTTCAAGTAATTCCGACCACAAATAAAATATTCCTTATACAGACGTTGCAACCCCTTTCCACCCCCTTAGAGGTTGAATTTCAGAATATCCTTTCTTATTTCTTGTATACATCATAAAGGAAACCTCTGTGCAAAACTTCAGCTTTTTATGTCCAAGGGCTTAGCCTAGGCGTTGATGAGTCAGTGAGTCAGGCCTTTTATTTTATACATATATATAGATAGATTTATGTGTTTTGCTCAACAAGAATCTTTTATTATGCGACGCCATATTAAGTTGAAATATTATTTACAGCAGATAAGGCGAATTCTATAATCGTGTTTAATGCATTTTTCGTGATGATGGTCACCGGTGACCCTCACGGCAGTCAACGTGTTAATAGAGAAATGTACAACGTATGTGCTTGATTATTTATCGAACAACCCCTCTAACGAAGGGTAACGATCGACATTCTGTTGCTTTAATATAATTTCAGTCGGTCGACGGTTCAGGTTTGGTCCACGCGTACGCGGCGAATGATTCATTGAAATTGCGACAAGATGGGAAGGAATGAACTCGTATAAACCTGTACGAGCTACCGTGCGACAAACGTACTACCTGCCGGCGGCAGGTGACTTTATTCATGCGCGTAAATCACGCGTACGAAACGGGTTTTCGCCCGCTTGGCTCGAACTTGGCTTGCGGTTTGCGTGCACGTTTAGCGCGCGCATTTGCGCTCCAGTGTGGGAATAAATTCGATACGAGCGATTTACGGGACCCGTGCTCCCCGTAAAACGTTTCGCGATACCGATACCGAGAGGAACGTGATCCTGTGCGCTTTCGAAATCATTAACACGCTGGATCATTTGTCCAAAGCCACCGAACGCTAATCGGGAAACACGAGACGATTACGAACATGTCAACGTATCGAAGAATAAAATGCATATTGCAAATATTAGATAGGGGTGTTCGAGGTCTCGAAAATATCGAGATCGAGACGAGTCCTCGATAGTATCTTGTCAATCGAGAATATCGAGAATCTCGAATATATCGAAGATCTCGAAGATTCAAAGAGTTTAAATAAAATATTAGAGTGTTTTGAAAGTGTTTCGAAGGCTAAACAAAGGATTTCTAAAACGAGAAAGGAGACATTGTAACAAAGTTTGTACGAGTCTCGCAAGAATATATTGGTTTTGTAGAAACAAGAGTTAGTAAAAAAGATGCGCAATGGTTGGACGACAATGATCTTTAAAGTCAGCAATCGTGTCAGCTGACCGTGGAACGTTGATAACGAGATGTTTTGTCTGTTTCCTGCCACGGTTCGATAATACGGATCACATTTGTGATTGTCAATAGAGCTTAATCTAATTTCTTGTCGGATGAAAAGAACGTTCGAGATAACGTCGAAGACGTAAGATCGCGTAAGTGAAAATTCTGTATCTCGGAGGCGGACTGCGTTGAATTCAGCTTTCAGTTAAAAAAAATTCGTGGTATCTGGAGGGAAAAATAACGACACCGAGGGAAAGTACACAGTCGATTACAGGAAATCAATTTTATCTCGGTGAGTGGCGCTCAGCGAGAAAAGAGAGATTTACGAAGGTTCGTGACGACGGTTTCCGTAACGGAGCAAATAAACATTTATCTAGCCGCAAGATATAAAAAACACACTTATCTTCGCAACAGCGTGACTAACCCCGTTTATCGGTATATCAAGAAATTTTACTTTTAAAATATTAATCGAGCGAACGAGAAACACAATTACCGGAAATATTTATTTACATACCGAAACCGGATAAGTTCCGAACGAATAATTTCTTTCGATCGGAAGATACAGGGATTGTCGCGAGACGGAGACTTCGATGCTGGAGGAAGAAATAAAATGTAAGAATCGCATCGATTATGGAATTAAATATTTCACGATCGTCAAGAATAAATTGATATATGTTTATCTTATTGGTTCAATAAATTAGTTTAATGCTCCTCGTTGCATCCGGGAGCTGCATCGTCGATTAAATATTGGATTATTCTCGTCGGAGCCATTCGTAGAAAAGAAAATTGGAAACCGACGCTCTCCGGGGTTTAATTCGCTCGATCTCGGTCGGTTCGTCGCAGTCGAAAGCGCAATTTGCCTATCGATACGTCCAAGTCGAGCCACGCTAGATGGGAGAGAAGAATAGAAATCGGTTTTCGTGGTTCACAGAGCCTCGTAACGATTGGGTCTCTGGCGATCGGCGATCGTTAGAAATGGAAAGCACCTGGATTTCCACTTGTCACGACGGAAGGATCTGTTCCGAATTTCACCGACCGATATTCTCTCGAGTTGGGCGAATTCTATTCAAGAACAACGAATCGCATCTGCAGACCGTTAATTATTATCTATCCATCAATCTTTTAAACCGACGTCTGAACGAACGAAACTCGATGATATTAAATAGATCGATAAATAGTGTTTCTTCGATCGCTATTTTATCGTTGATTCAACACAATTCGGAGAATGATACTTATTGGATCTACGTATTTGTTAGGACGTTGAGGATTTCGCAATTATACTGTCACGTGATTAAGAGTATTCAATAAATTAGATAACTTTTCATTTGTAGCATTAAAATATTAGTTAAATATCCGAATAGTGAACTATTTTAATTGAGATTAATTCGAACAGAAATATTCAAATATTCGTAAGGTCTAAATATAAATCGACTCCCTGATTCGAACATCAATATTCAAATCTTATTGTACAACAAACTACTCAAATAATGCC